AAACCCATCCACTGGGATGCATAAAGCAATTCGTAACAAACACTTGCTTAAGTGAAGCACAATAGATTAAGCATACCTCGAGACTGCAAGTGAACCATTAACGCGCTCCACAATAACCGATCCTCCGGCATTTTGAATGCGTTCCTTCTCTGATGGATTAATGGGTTTATGATCCACTGTGGCAAACGCGACTTCTCCCTGACGAATCAATACTGCTCGTGAATCTCCACAATTGGCAAAAAAGATATGATTTGGAGTGATTAAAACGCACACCGCCGTCGAACCAGATTTGTCTTCACCACTCGCCACTTGAGGTAATTGCCGCAGGCGGTCATCTAAAGAGAGGAAACCGTCACGAATACCTCTTTCGACTTCTGGTAAACTTGGGGCCAAATCTGGGTCAATTTTCTTGAACTCTTCTGTATTCACGATGCACTGAGAAAGGTGGAAACGGTACAAAATTACACGAACCAATAAATAAAATTTGAAAATGCATGCACCCAATAATGTCTCACTGCTTTCACGCAGCTGTTTGCTGCAACTGCAGTTTGCCCGAGAAATAGTTCGGTTACACTTTGGTATAATCTGATTTAACGAATACAGTAACCTATCTCCTGGTCCTCCAGGTTAGGGTTTGACTGGAATTTGCGTTTCAGTCAGTAAAAAATGGTGGAGTAATCGATTCAAGTAAATGGGCCTCTACTTCGCCTTTGGACGGGAACCCTAATCGTTTTCCTGCCTAGTGAATGGACACCCTAGCAGTACACGTCCATCAAACCCCAATATATACACAAACTAAAAATCATTCCATACTGCATCGGTCGTCGTACAGGATAATCAGGACCGCGCTGTCCATTGCATCGAGTGGGGTGGGAAGTGATAAGTGGGTTACTGCTCAGATTTCCCAACCTTTGTTTAACTCTTTATCTTCCGCACCCAGCCTTCTCCACATTCCCCGTTCTTCCGACCTGTAATAATCCCTTAAGCAACTAGGATATCGCTCGCCAAAGGTCGTTGCCAAATAGCCCTGTAAGTAATGTACCACCACGTGAATTGAAAGTTCTAAAGCCTCCTCAAACACTGAATCAAGGGACCTTTAACGTGAGGACTCTGATGCAGGTAGGTCAAAAAGGTTGTCTGGCACGTATAATGGGATTCTTAGAGATCAATATTTTCTGCGTGTGGGAGACTCGAATCAATGATCTCAGTGCTATAGGCCAATAGAGCGCGCCAAATTTGTCCTCCAGGTGCGTTCTTCGTACATCAAGTGACGATCAAGCCCATTCAGTGGGTCAGCGCGGGGTAGGTATTGTACTCAACAACAGGGCTGAATCCTTTCTTATCGACTGGATCCCCGTCAGAAGTCATTTATGTGCAGAGCGTCTCCAGGATTCACTCAGCGTCCGGAAGGAAAGCAACACCAAAAGGTGCTTGTTCATCGTATCGGCATATGCACCGACCAACAGCAGTTCTGATACCCAAACGACGCTTTCTATGTTGAACTCACCGATTTCATTCGAATGAGTCGAAGCTCCAATAATGTTGTACTTGCAGGTGACTTTAACGCGCAGGTTGGAAAACTGAGCGCATCACAAGTTTGCCTAGGCGGTAGTGGTGCTCTGCCCGGTTAACTAACAGATAACGGCGATCGACTTCTTCAGCTCTGCGCAGATCATCATATGTTAAGATTCAGCATCAACTTCCGATACAGCTCCCGACGGACGGCAAAGTGGAGCTTCAGTTCAACTGGTACGCTAACTCAAGTCTATCACATAGCAGTAAGCTGCCAACGATGTGGTCCCAGGCTCAAGCCCCGCCATTGTCACCCAACTTTGGTGGCATGCAGCTTTGCTGTCGCCCGGTTCTATACCACGCCAACCGCGCGCGGCTTTATGTGGTGCGCCACTGCAAGTCCCGGAGCTTCGATTTTCGGTGCCCAACTCTGAACAACAGGTTTACGTGGCTATGGGGTCCGCTCCATCTGTTATTCATCACACACCGGTGTGCAATAAAAGAGGCTACCTTGGGCCTGGCTCAGTGCAAAATTGCAGGTTCTTTTGTACCACCAGCTTTGAGTCTGACCACTCATTAATTTTGATGCAGTTCACTCTCCGACTGACTGGATAAGGACAGAATCAGCAAACTCGTATAGTTTATCATCTATTGTCTGTTCCAGCAGTTCGTGCACGCTATGAATCAGAGCTAGTGCATGAGCTAAGCGCGCCTCAATGTGATGATGTGGATGAGTAGTGGGATCAGATTAGGCGAGAAATGCATTCCGTAGCGAATGTTG